GTTAATCAGCTGTGGACTCACCACTAAGCACTACTTCACTCAACAGAGATTACAAGACATTCTTTGAAGAGAAAGACAATGCACTCACCCAGGAGAAAACAGCAGAGGAAAAGAAGGCGGTATTTCAAAAGAATTATTATGAAATACTTAAAAACTCAAGTGTTTGATAAATTGTTTTTAAATACTGTTCATAAAGATGGTGACAAAACAAAAGCCATCTAAATGTGGCACTTGGCAAAAGCAAGTTAGGGATATTCAAATTAAATCCATGAATAAACTATTAGTACTGAAATGTATTTGCCCCTATCTGAAATAAAAGCATACACATTACGCCACAAAGATCAAAATTAAGTGGCTTTTCCTTGAAAATAAAGAGGCAGAATAGAACAACAGAATTTGCTGACACACTTACACTTTTTTAAAAAGAATTATTTGTTTAATTCTATTTGTTATTATTATTTTTAATTTGACCAAAGAGAGACACACACAGAGAGAGAGAAAGGGAAACCAAGAGAGCAAGCCGCCTGGTCCAGGACTCAACTACATCAGTCTTGTGGGAATCAAGCACCTTTAACCACTATGCCACCTGCCGCCCCCTCCACTTATACTTTTAAAAGTATGGTTTTCTTCCCATTGAATTCCATTATTTACTCCACTAAAATGATCAACTTCTTCCTTTCTGTTGTCCTTACTGTGAGCTAAAATGGCAGTCCAACTTGGTCTGAGTTTTAATGCAAAAAACATTTGTAAAAAATTGTGCTTTAAGAGGAGCTATGCTAAGCTGTCAGGTTATTAACTACCAAGATCATCTGGCCATCACATCCTCCCAAGTTCCTAAGATAATAAAATACTCACCCTCTACATTCTTACAAATGTCATTTATGGGTATTCCCCTAATGAAAAATTAAACCTTTCATAAGCAAATACACACAGAGAACTCATTTTGATATGTATGACTCACAATCTAATTTTTATTGGCAATATCTTGAAGTGTTGCAGCTTGCACTATTTCTACAGGAGATACAGGTCTGTTTTTCCCATCTGATCTTTGCAGATTCGTTATAGATTTAAAAGGACTCACTGAAAGGACTGTGAGGAAAAGAATTATGAACACAATCCACACCAAAACAAAGAGTAAGCTGTGAACTAAGATAACAAAAAAGTCACTTACGTTCAAAGTCTTACAGTCCAGACTATATATTTCCATTCAAATCTCAAAAAAAACCTAGGATTTTCTTTATTCTTACTCTGATTTTTCTGTTATTAGGAATGCAAGCAACAAACCTCCGAAAGGCACAAAAAACCTGTAGAAAATGTCATTTACAAAAGAAGTTATCTTCCAAAGCTTACTGCACAGAAAATTATGTACATACGCTCTCAAATAACTATGGAAGGGCGTGTCTGAGATCACACCCTCCAACCCCCTAGAAAAGAACAGCACATCTAACCATAATAAACCGGTAACAAAATTTTTAGCCCAGCTACCACTAGCTAAGCAATTTATCACAGCTCCTCCAAGTCTCAGGCACAATGAAAATACCAACACATTAATAGAGTTACAACCTGAAAAACTATACAATATGCACACTAAAGGAGAAAACAATTCCTCTGGAAAAACTCAAGTAGATTTTGGAGAGCAAGAAAGGAAACCAATTTTAGAAAAATAACATTCCCCCCAAGTGTTTGGTGTTTATCTGATACTGGCTCATTTTCGAAAAGAGAAACTTTACCTAACAAGACTCACACCAGGGATCTGATCTATCCCCAAAGGCACTTTCTTAAAATGAGAAAGAACAAAGAAGGAAACCTCACAGCATGTGCTTCACATACTAGTTTCTTTGGACGGCGTCAAGAGTGACAATATAGCCAGCGCGAGCTTTTCAGCTTTACTGCATGGTCCATGTATAACAGAACTGATTAACTTTCATTCAAAAGGACTCCTAGCAAAGTATTAGAAGACAAAGATCACAACAACGTAATGATTACATTTTAAGAGGAAAACATGTATCTTAAAGTATAGTTGCCTGCTTTTTTTATTTCGAGAGTTAATTATCTCCAAATATTTAAACTCCAGAAGCTTTTTCATTTCAATCAATAGTGTGAACTTGAGGGGAAAAAAAAACTCTCCTTCTAAATCTACTCTCCCTCGAATAAATTTGTAATTAGAAGTAAATTAAAAAAGAATGACACCTAAAGCCAATACCTTAATGTTGGGATGTTAACACTGCAAAGTTATTAGGAAAAGCGATCGTTTAGTGAGGCTTTTCCACTGGAAAACTCTCCAGAAACAAATCAGGCGTTTAGCTGTTTTAGAAGTTGTCGTCTCATTACAACGGAGGGGGGAAAAAATCCTAAATAAACGTTATTGGTTATAAAAAGATTACTCCTTATTTAAAGAATTTACAATCGTATGCCCCTCCCAGTCTCCACTGTGACAGAGATGTCAGTTCTCTGGGTTGGGATCTAACCAGCTGCTGGGTTCACACACGGGAAGCCACCGAGAAGGGAATATCGCATCGAGAGCCTTGAAATAATACGCGTTAGTTAAGAACTGCTTGCTACTAAACCAAAATTATTCAAGCGGAGCCCCATTTGTCACAATCCAATCATAAGGGTTCCAACCCCCTCCCCCAACTGCTTGTGTAGTGGTGAGTCTGCCTCGGTAAAGAAGCCATCATCAGGTAAAGACCGGGGTGGGGGGAAACGCGGGGAGAGGGGGCCGCCTTTCATCTCGTTTCGCGAGCCCTGAGTGACTGGTACAGTTGAGAGGAACGGAGGAACGTTCTATTTATCGGGGGTTGCAGTGGGATGAGGGGAGACTTTCGTTCAAATCAACATGGCCAGCGAGATGTCCCTACAAACAAAAGGCAACGGGGGGATATAAACACGAACCATTCACCTCCATCAGCTATTGCATCGCCATCATGGTGTGTGCAGAGACCCCCGAAGGCTCCGCGCACCCTCCACGCCCGCCGACGCGGGCGAAGGGAGAGGGCAGCTGCAGCCCACCACCCCCGCAGCTCGCCAACACACACCCCCGGAGGGGTCTCCCCGCGCAGCCCGGGATCCGGGAGAAAGAGTAACGTCCAGCCCGGGCACCCTCCCCGCCACCCCTCGGCCAAACCCCAACGCCGGCCCAGGGCTCACTAAACTTTGCTGGAGCGTCTCCCCCACATCCCACCCCAGCGCCCCGGGATCGCGCCTCCCACGAGCGGGACACCCCGGGCGCCTCCTGACAGGCGGGCAGCGGGGGGGCG